CTCCATGTGTGCAAGTAGAGATTCTAGTTTCTTGGTTCTCTCCCTTTGCTTCAAGCTTGGGTTACATTTGTGATTTGTGTCATGTAAAAAGCGTTGTGACTTCTATGAAATATGTATTTTCCAAAACAGAGTTTATTACTATTATTATTCAAAAAGATATAACTAGCTAAAAACTAGTGTGAGCTAGATAATACTATTATTATTCATATTGTTATGATATCTCATATTTTTATTATTTCTGTTGCTGTTAAATATATTGTTTTAAATCAACGACTACATATACCGCTTGTTACCCTTCAGTTGTAAAAACAATGACTATTTTTTTTACAATTTTATTTACTTAATTTGTTTTTATTGGACTATTGGGTTTTTACTCTCATGAAGAACATAAACTTGTTATAGCTTTTAACACATATTCACCAAAGGCAAAGTAAATTTTAGTGAATATTTACCAAGACGTAATCAAAGATATCAATCAACCATATTCTATGACCGATTTGTTATATTCCCATCTACAGTACCCAATTTTGTTTTTGCATCACAGTCTGTGAAAAACACACCAGAAATCGGAATCCTTCAAATAACGTTTACAATACAAATTTGGCCATGAAACAAAGGTTCATGATAAGTTATAAGTTCTTCACTGGGAACCTCATATATCACTATAATTTAATTACCATCATTATTATCACTTTWCTTGGTCGCATTCTAGTTCTCTTGCATATTTTGTCTCCTGCCAGAATGGATTGAGGAGGGGATGGGGGGGGGATAGAAGAAGAGAGTCTTTAACAACAAAAAAATGTCTTATGGTGTTATAGTGATACTTCATGTAATATAAGCCTTTGTTTTTTGCACCAACTAGAGATTGATTGGCTGGTGAGACAAAGCAACATGTGATGAGCTTTTGTGAAAAGGGTTTGCATACATCACAATGGTTTTGCAAGAAGTCATGAAGTATCATTAGCATAGTACCTTTCTAGGTAAAAGCCACCCCTTTTGAAATCATCATGCCTCTGTCATGCATAGCTCGTGTATTGACACTATAATAGTTCTGGTTGAGGGCTTAAATAATGGCTGGACAACAGCGACAATATCCACCCAAAATTGGAACTTATTTAGTCACGTCAAATCTTCGTTTTCCCAGTCATTTTGGCCAGTARCGTTAAGTCAGAAACAAGGTATGTCCAAGTTAAAACTGTGTGGGACCTGAAACAATGATGCTCGCCCGCAGCAAATAATYATCATAAGACCTACTTCCGTTTGGGAACCCTGTGCTACTTTCCCGCCAAACAAGTACCTCAATCAATGCTACAACCCCCYCTTTGAAAAAATCCTGGATCTGCCCCTGACGCTTGGACTACCTGTGCTTATTATCACAGTCTCCATGTATTCATAAACAAATGMTGTAGTAGATCCAAACACAAGGAGCTTTTGTTGTAGTAAAARTTAGCTTACTCTTGGCAACCATGAGAAATAGGTGGCTGCATGTGGCCAGTAATATGAGCAACAGCTAGCCGTGAAATAACAAAAGACATGGTGGTCATATTGGATGATATGACAAAAGATTTCATTGACAATATTCATTTGTTAAATTCATCCAAGATGATGGCTGTCAAAAACATATGTGTAGATTGTTGCAAAAAAATGATTAGTGATTTTTCATCATAAATTCCTGCAACCCCTCCCCCCCCTTAATTATCTATTGGTCCATCCGGGTCCTTACCTCTTGATTGACATGATTGTAACATGAATAACATTATACCCTAACTTAAAACTTTATTACAAATTATTTAAGTAATAATAATATATGCAACCAGAGTTCCAATATGAAAATTTGTAAATAAATTATGAACACCATTTTCGGTTTAAAACACACACCATATAAAATTCAGAGTAAAATAACTTAATTAACCAATATTTATATCAAAACCTCAAAGCAGTAGACTAGTGTTACAACCCATCGTGTGTAAACCCAGTTATCTCACAATATTTGTAAGATCTAGAGAGATYAGTTTAAGAATTATTTTTAGAAGTTTGCATTGCATGCCTTTCGAGATTCTGAGGGGTAAAAGCTAGTGGAAGTAGGTCTCCAGCAGTCGTAGTATGATAGGTRGAATCCTTTGATACAAGGTAAACAACAATATCCAAGCCGAATTCAGCAATGAACTGTCGACATGCTCCACAAGGCGTCACATATTCTTTCATATCTGTAGTAACAGCGATTGCCTTGAATTTGGTAGAACCACAGCTTACAGCCTTGACGATTGCCGTTCTCTCAGCACAAATGCTCAATCCATGGCTAGCATTTTCGACGTTGCAGCCATTGAAAATAAGGTCGTCGTGGGTGAGCAGTGCTGCTCCAACACGAAACTTGCTGTACGGCGAGTAAGCGAACTCTTTCGCTTTTGTACACTCTCGAATAAGCTTTAAAACTTCGGGGTCTGACACTAACCCGTTTTGAGGAACGGTTTGATTTTTTATCGCAGCCATAACAGATTTACAACCAATTCCACTTGGATATTTCTAAATATCGTAATATCCACGTGTACACGTCACACATCAATCGTTACCAAGTTATATAGTCACATGACCGGTATTGTTTTAGTTAAACCACATCAGCTGTTTCATTAGAAACACCGACGCAGCTCACACTAGTTTTTAGCTAGTTATCTCTGCTTGGAACTAGAACATTTCATTTTTGAAAACCGTGTCTACCAAGCATACAATGTTTCGATTATTGAAACTATTTTGATGGTTCGAAGTTTTGAATTTTTTTATCAACAGTCAGTAACACTTTAAGAGGTTCGCAGCCCCCATTTTGACCAATTTGAGAATGGGAAAAGCTGTCAAATCTATCATACAAGTTTCACTGAGCCAGTAAAAGTTTAACGTGTAACTGAGGGAACAGGGCCTTTATAACTTTTATACAAAACAACTTGGTAAATTATTGCTTTAAGAAACAATCAATGATTTAAAGACCCGAATACAGACAAACTGAATAATATTTTTAAAGGAGTTTGTAGCAAAGCTTGGCTTATTTTGGCGAGTAAATGAATATTTCCTGAGTGAAATACATTCAGTTTGGCCGAAAATTTAGTTGACAAGTAGTGTGACACGCAAACGCAACACTGTTTTATATTAGCAGAAAAAAAGCGCAAAGCCTTTAACTCTCTTATGCCCCCTCCACACGTATCCGGAAATTTGTGTATCCGCAAATTTTTTTTTTTTTTTTTTTTTTTTTT